CATCCCACCTCAAGTCTCCAATGCCACCTTCTACCCCCTCATTCTCAGCAGACGGTCTCACCTCCCACTTCTGAGAAAAAATAGAGGCTATCAGCCCGCTACACAACCCACTGCCCACTTTCCCTCCCTCTGTCCCCTCTGCCCCACACGGTCATCTGCGCCCAGTCTTACCACCTTCCTCTGGACTCAAAACAAAGGCTAATCAAAGGCTACTGTTTCCATCTGTGTTCTTGGTGTCCAGTCTCTTGAATCACCTCCTGAATGTGATCTAGCCATTACTTCTCTCTGCTGAATCCTCAATTCCCCCCACCTCATCAGCTACACGCTTACTCAAGTCTCCCAGCACTTACTCCATGCACTCTAACCTCTACCACCTCTCCCCAGCCCTCTCTGGCATTAAAGGTCTCCACTTCCTTGGGTCTCAATTCTCTTGCACCCCACTCAGGCCACTGTAGCTACTCTCCCTAATGATGCCAAATTGCTAAATCCAAAATACCCTTGCCAGTGCTTTAATGATTTGATCTCCCATTTGACAATGTTGAGTAACCCTGATAGACTCTATTTCCCAAAATGGTTGCAACAATATGTCCCATTCTAATAAGCTTCTAGAACCTTGCCACTCTCCCATTAAGAGACAGAGTCTATATCCCCACCTCTCAACAAAGGGGCCTTTAATTGCTTCATCCAATAAAGTAAGAAGTAATCCCATATGACTTCCAAGGCTGGGTCATAAAATTCTGATGTACTTTCAGCCTTATTCTCCTGGAATACTTGCTCCTACATTCCAGCCACCATGCTTTGAGGAAGCCCAATAGTCATGCAGAGGCTGATGTGGGGAGGACCTCAGACCCTGGCCCACAGCTTCAGTTGAGCTCCCAGACAACAGCCATCACCAACCTGCCAGCCAAAGTAATGAGCCGCCTTGGAAGTGGCTCCTCCAGCCCCTAGCCTACTACCCTAGATAGAGGTGCCTAGAACAGATGAGTTTCTCTGCCAAGCCCTAGCCAAACTGCAGATTCACAAGCAAAACACATGGCTATTGTTTTAAGCCACCAAGTTTTAAGGTGAGTCATTATGCAGCATTAGATAACTGATAACAGTGCTCTTTTCTTGAATTTTGCTCCCACTGGATGTGCAGCATTATCAATCCTGGTTCTTCTCCAGCTTCTCTGACCACGTCTTCTCAGTCAGGAACTTATCCTCTTCTGCTCATTCCCCAAATGATGATGTTCCTCATGGTTTTTTCCCCTGCAATCTCTCTTCTTCTATAACCCTAATACTTCCTCTCATTGATCTCAACTACTCCCCCAGATTCAGCAGCCTTGAGTACCTTTGCTCATAAATCCCAAATCTATATTCCAACCTGAACTCCAGAAGGACAGGGAAATCCTTATTCAAAACTAAGCAATATCTGATAACAGCAATATCTGACCCCGTGGTTGTGCCACTACTTCCCTTTGTTCTGAGATCCATCCCAACCCCATACTCTCATGAGAATCTACGTCTGCCAGGCTCCCTTGCCAACTTGCCTCCAGCGAGGTCTAGCCACTGGGCAGTCTTGAAGGACTATCGGGGGGAGGTGAAAAAGACTATGCCTCAAATAGTATCTGTGGCTCCAACTCCCTGGAAACAGGCCCCACATCTGTGACCTGGCTCCCACTGGGCAAGCTCACCACAGTTCCGGGTCCCATATCTGTGACCTGACTCCCTCTGGGCAAGCTCACCATGGTCCTGGGCCCCACATCTGTGACCTGGCTCCCACTGGGCAAGCTCACCATGGTCCCAGACCCCACATCTGTGACCTGGCTCCTACTAGACAAGCTCACCATGGTTCCAGGTCGCACATCTGTGACCTGACTCCCACTGGGCAACCTCACCACGGTCTCAGGCCCCACATCTGTGACCTGGCTTCCCCTCAGCCTGCTCACCATGGTTTCAGGCCCCACATCTGTGACCTGGCTCCCATTGGACAAGCTCACCACAGTTCTAGACCCCACATCTGTGACCTGGCTCCCACTGGGCAAGTTCACCATGGTTCCAGGCCCTACATCTGTGACCTGGCTCCCTCTGGGGAAGCTCGCTATGGTCCTGGGCCCCACATCTGTGACCTGGCTCCCACTGGGCAAGTTCATCACAGTCCTGGCCTCTACCAGGTGGGCCCAGCGGCTGAGCTCCAGAGAATCACCTCTTCTTTTTGTCTCTCCACTTTGAGAGTGACAGTGGTGCCATGTTGGTGACTGTCTCACCATCCCATCTTGCTTCTCAGCAATTCTGTCTCTAGTAAACCCAATTTTTTGTTTTGTTTTGTTTTTTGAGAAAGAGCCTCAAGCTCTCACCCTGGGTAGAGTGCTGTGGCATCACAGCTCACAGCAACCTCCAACTCCTGGGCTTAAGCAATTGCCTCAGCCCCCCAAGTAGCTGGGACTACAGGCGCCCACCACAATGCCCAGCTATTTTTTGGTTATAGTTGTCACTGCTGTTTGGCAGGCTGGGCTGGGTTCAAATCTGCTAGCTCTGATGTATGTGGCAGGCACCTTAGCCACTTGAGCTACAGGCGCCCAGCCCCAATTTTCTGTTTTAAATTCCCTCTGTTTGAGATACAGCAGTTTCTTTCGTTCTGAATGAACCTAGTCTGATATATAGTAGTCTCCCGATATCCAGGTCTTGCTTTCTGAGGTTTCAGTTACCTGTGGTCGACTGCCCTGAAAACAGGTAAGTATAATATTTTAAGAGACAGAAAAAAAAAGAGAAGAGAAAAGGCCACATTCACATTACCTTTTTTAATTTTTTTTTTGAGACAATGTTGTTCTGTTGCCCTTGCTAGAGTATAGTGCTATCATATCATAGCTCACAGTAACCTCAAACTCCTAGGCTCAAGCAATCCTCCCATTGCAGCCTCCCGAGTAGCTGAGACTACAGGTGCCTACCACCACACTTGGGTAATATTTCTATTTTTTGTAGAGACAAGAGTCTTGCTCTTGCTCAGGCTGGTCTCAAACTCCTGAGCTCAAGCAATTCTCCAACCTTGGCATCCCACAGTGCTAGGATTATAGGCGTGAGCCACCATGCCCTGCCCACATTACTTTTATTACAATATATTATTCTATTTTATTATTAGTTACTGTTGTTAATCTCCTGCGGTGCCTAATTTACAAATTAAACTTTACCATAGGTACGTACATACTATGACATACTAAGAAAAAACAGTATACATAAGGTTCAGCATTTTTCAAGATTTCAGATACCTTCTGAGGGTCTTGGAACATAACCTGAACCAATAAGGGGACATTACTATAACCCAAACTTAACCATTTAAGCCAGAAACTTAAGGTGCTTGTCTCCTGCTTGCTCATACCAGAACTTGCCCCCTCCCCATATCAAGCCACAGAGTCCTGATGACTCCACCCCGAGCCCTGCATCCCCTCAACCCCCACTGCCTTGCTTCCCTCTATTGTTTCTCTTTCAGACCAATGCAGCAGCCACTCAGTCAGTCTCCCAGCTACAGTCTTTCTGCCTACCCATACATCCTCCAGGCTGCCAACAGATTTTTATTTCTAATGCACATCTGATGACAGTTCCCTGATTAAAATTCTTAAATGGTTTCCCACTGACTACAGGAGAAAATCAGATCTGCTCAGGTCCACAAATATGTATTGAGCCTTGCCTGTGTGTACCATTCTACACCTTAGCTGGAATGAAAGGGCCCTCCAGGTTCTGTCCTGCCTGCCTTCCCAGCCTCATCTCCAGGCAATCCTAGACCATACTACCTGAACCAAATGAAGTCCTCCAAGCATACTCTGATCCTCTAGGACTGAGGTCTTCACACATCCTGGGCTATCTTTCCCCTGCATGGCGTCCCCTAGACACTCCCATCTATCCAGGCACAATGGTCCACGGCACTCTGCAAACACCCCTCTGACAGAGCTCATATCCCCACACTGTCTCCTCTCTAAATGGGGAGCTCTGCAAGAGGAAGATGAAGCTCACTCACTAGTGTGTCTCCAGCGCTGACCATGTCCACGAAGAGCCCCTCCATGTACGTGTTAAGTTTGATTAAGGTAAGTTGAAAGGGTGAGGAAAGGGAGCAAAAAAGAGAAAAGGAAGGAGAAGGACATGCTGGCATGTCAGACAGATCACTGACCTGCCTGTGCAGGGGGCCAGCTACCTCCCCAAGCAGTGGCTAGCTCATCCTCTTTCTTCCCTGAGCTGAGCATGGAGCTAGAAAAGGGCTTTTCCCATGGCCACTTCCAAGCAAGTAAGTTTGTTCACTCAAAACAACTATCAGGGGCGGCGCCTGTGGCTCAGTGGGTAAGGCACCGGCCCCATATACCGAGGGTGACCAGTTCAAACCCAGCCCCAGCCAAACTGCAAAAACAACAACAAAAATAGCTAGGCCAACATTGTAGCGGGTGCCTGTAGTCCCAGCTACCAGGAGGCTGAGGCAAGAGAATCACCAAAGCCAAAGGAGTTGAAGGTTGCTGTGAGCTGTGACACCACAGCACTCTACCGAGGGTTAATAGGTGAAACTCTGTCTCAAAACAAACAAACAAACAACAAAAAAACCCCAACTATCAGATAAGCAAACCTGCAATCTGCAAAAATATTTCTATGTGATCTGTATGTTATGTTTACATCCTTGTACACCACATACTTCCTTTTGTTATAATTTAACAAATTAAGATGTAACTTTTTATAATCCCGAGGAAATTACCTTTGGTTCATCTCATTTCTGCAACATTCCTGTGAGGTCCCCTTCCCCTCAGCCCCAGCAGCTGCTCAGAGTGTTCTGAGACCATTACAGGAGTTTCCAGGGACAAATCAAGAACTGACAACCCTGCCGTGGGCTCTTGTGATCCTATCATGGTGTCAGCCCTCCTCTCCCACTCTGCTGCTCAAAGGGCCACCTCTACCCACCAGCCTGAACCAGTGTCATGGAGGGAGGCTGCCAGGTTCCTGGGGACATGTAGACTGAGGACAAAGTTAAGAGAAAAGGCTCTCACCTCCATCAGGAGAATGTCCTTCGAGCTCTGGGCCTGCACCTTTGGGTGCTGAACCTTCACGGCCACCGTCCTCCCATCATGCAGCACTGCCTTGTGGACCTGGGCCAGGGAGGCTGCCCCCAGAGGGGTATCATCGAAGCTCATGAACAAATCATGGATCTGTCAAGAGAGGAGGGAGAACAGAGCAATTAAGAAGATGACCCAGTGCAGTGAAGGGGCTTGGAAGACAGGCCAGAGTCAGGGCTGCGATGCCCTGACAATGGATTTTCTGCTTTATCAGTTGCGGGCCATTGGCTACCGTGGAGATTCGCAGCAGGCATATGGAGAAAAGGAGACAGAAGACACATGTGGAGAATGAGTCCTCCTCATACACGTGCACAGTGCCCCTGAGCACCTCCATCAAAGAAGGCCAAAGAGTGCTGTCCGGAATGTTTGGAACTGAGGATCATCCACCCACATTATTATCCACCTTTGTGCCTCCTGGGAGCTCACACATGACAAACCAAACTTAACAGAACATGAGCCCAGGACAGAGATCAAATGCTTCAGTTCCACCAACCAAGAGAGTTCAGAGAACCCTCAGCAGAGGCTCCAGACCCAATAACCTGCCCAAGCAGCAGCCTCAACATAGGTCCCAGAGCCCACCGCAGCCCAGCCACTCAGGCAGAGATTCCAGGGCTGCAAGCCAGACCGTGGCTTTTGGGCCTCACCTGCAGTGACAACCAAAGATAGCCTGGGGACCCTTACTTCCCTCTCTGCATCTCACATTCTCTTTCTGCAAAGTGGAAATCATACTCCTACTCTTCCTTCTCTTCTTTCCTTTTTCTTTCCTTCCTTCCCTCTTAGAAATGCCACACCAATTCTCCCAAAAGAAACATTCTTTCTGACTTGTGCTGTTGCACCTCCTTATATGGCCCACACATAAATATTCTACCAGATGGAAAGGAGGCCCCTAATGGCCTTTCCCAACAATAGCCAAGCCTGAACTCCTAATCCTCTCATTTCTTTAAGTCTCTGTACAGCCTCAAGGGTCTGGGAAGCCCAGCCAATCACACATACACATACACAGATACGTACAGACGCCATCAGTGCCGTGCCTCCCTCCCGTCGCCCCAGGCTTTCACGCTTTGAGGCCTGTTCAGTCTGTGCCCCTTCCACTCTTGGTACCCACTCTTCCAGAGCCCCTCTGCCCTACGCTGTAGCCCCTCTCCTCAGACATCAGAAATCCCCACAGCCACCATCCCACCTCTTCTGCTAGGCTGCACCACCTCCTGGCTAATCCCATCTCATAAACCAGTGCCTCCAGCCCTGTCATCATTTTTGGAGCTCTCACTAAACTCCATCCCATTATCAAACATCCTACACAGATCAAAGGCCTAGGCCACAAGAAGAAGGTCCTACATTCCTCTGTCACAGAGGTACGTCTGGGACTGGCCTCCTGTCTTGTGTGAATTCATACTGGAGCCCCTCCTTGCCCCTGGTGCTTCCTGCTCTCCCACACTGCACTTGTCTTTTCTCTCCTTCCTCAGTGTGAGGCTCCTTTACAGTAGGAGCCTCCTTCCCTCTTCAGCCACCCTAACCGCCCGGGCACTAACAACACAAAGGCCTGGGCCTGGGTTTGGGTTTGGGACAGGAGGACCCCAGGACCATCACCCCTATAAACTCCACTAGAATATCGGCTCGGAACAGGCAGGGCTTTTTGTCTGTTTTGCTTACTGCTTAATTCCCTGCACCTAAAACAAGACTGGAACTAGATGCCAAATAAACATTTGTTAAATAACTGGATCCATTATTCTCTCTGTTGCAGAAGAAGTGAATCAACTTTTTTTTCCCTTAAAAATGGCTAGACCTACGGTCCCAACCCCTAGGCCTCAGATTAGGACCAGTCTGTGGCCTATTAGGAACTGGGTCACACAGCAGGTAAGTGAGCAAAGCTTCATCTACATTTACAGCCACTCCCATCCTTTACATCACTGCCTGAGCACCACCTCCTGTCAGATTCCCACCCCCGCATCCAGTGGTGCCAAAAAGCTTGGGGACCACTGAGCTAGACCTTCCTGCCCCCACACTCCTATTAACCCAAAGACCTCAAAATCCAAAATGGTAAAAGCACAGGTCACACATGAGATTCACCAAGGCAGACTCTACCAGCCACTCCAAGGTGGGTGTGGGACCCTGGCCTGACCAATAAGAACCCTGAAGACCCCTGGCCACACAGAATGATTCAGAGATGACACGTGACTCAACTGGTCCAATCAGACTCAACTACTTTACTTTTGACTGAACTACAAAAGAGATGCTTTCTCTCTGTTGAAGTTGGACATAAAAATACATATAAGCCTAGAGTGGAGCTGCTGAGGGTCACAAAGTAGCAACAAAGAAGAAAGCAGAGCCAAGGGACAGAGAGAGTGAATCCTTTTCACAGAGCTGCAGCCTGTTGATCTAGCCATGCCTGAGGACCCACCCACCCAGTAATTCCTTTATTAGCTTAAGCCAGTTTAGGTGTTCTGTCACAAGTGAAGGAGCTCTGACTGACACAGTGTGTCCTCAGGCCCCAGCTGGGATAAATGGAAGACGCACAGGCCAAGTGCCCACCCCCCCCCCCCTTGCTGGGGCAGGGATCTAGGAAACGGAGGGAAGGCAGAGCTCCAGAAACATTCCCAGCCATTGCACTATAAGATCTACACCAAGTCCCTTGGGAAACCCTCTGATAGTTCCTAAAGTAGCACTAAGGAGGTTTTCTACTGCAGAGCTATGAATTCAGACCCTCATCCTCCAGGCACCAAGACTGGCCCAATCTTCTGCTGCAAAAGGACTTGGGGGTCATTTGACCTCACTCCTGACCCTAAGCCTCCACCTGGCTCCCAGGAACATCTGCTTGTTGTCAGAGAAGGACAATCAGTTTTCAAGCCAGTGTCATTGCAGGGGTACTGCAGAGTCATTGCAACTGAAAAGTGACATGGCATCTCTAGGGCCATGTGGCAAGAGCAGCTGCCAAGAGCACCCCACAGGGAGGTGGGGGAAGGAAAGGGCTAAGATAAGCAGATCCTAATCTTCAGGGTGAGAAAGCCCAGGCTAACCATACCCTCAGGAGCCAGAAAGAGGGCTTCCTACAGTCCCCTGACCCCAACCTGGGATCAAGGGGCCCTAAGATACCACCCAAGCCCAGCAGGCAACTCAGCACCCTGAACAATGCCCAGCTTGCAAGGACTTGCCACATTCCCAGTTTCCCCAGTGGAAACCCAGAGAGGCATGGGACATGAGGATGTACCACTCACGGGCACAGGGAACTTGCCCCGCAGATGCCTACCCTACAACCTCCTCCAGCGCCCCTGCAGCCATCCCGTCCCTCTCTATCAGGAAGCAAGTCACACGCTCACACCCACACCCTCCTGTGCTTAAGCGAGCACACACACATGCACACACACAATAATTGATTGCTCACGGATGTTCCTAGCTGGCTTATAAAAAAGGTAATTAAAGATTGGTGCTGGAGCCTGTAATTAAATATGAATAAAGTATCTCTAAATGGAACCTTGATTCAAAGTGTTCAGTGGAAGTACTTTATGCTGATAGACAGTAAAGAAAAACAGACCCTGTCCCGAAAGCAGAATTATACCCCCCATGCAGCTGAAACAAATGCCACCCCCCTCCAATCAGGCCCAGTCCCCCAGCCCTTTCAGCAGAAACCATTAGCAGAAACAAACTGCAGCATTTGCAGCAATTAGATTCAAGCAGGGCCCGATGCTGCCTCCAGTCACTCGTAGAAACTTGTCTCCCTTTCTGAGGCTTTCTTTCCTGTTCCCTTTTTTTTTCCTTCCCCACTCTGGGTCTGGTGGCAAAATCAATTAAGTAAAACAATTGCAATTTAATATGACTAGTTATGTGCTTTTTAATTACTGTCGGCCCATAATTCGAATATATCGATGTCCCTGTCTGGAAAAGGAAAAATAATTGGGAAAAAAGTTTTTCTACCTTTGGTTTATCTGTGTGAGCACGCAAGCATGGGTGCACACAGCGTATGCACACACAAGTGTAAAGGGAGGAAGTGTTTGTCTTTTTATGAACAGAAACACATCAGAGGGGTAAGAAGAAATGTGTCATCCCCAAGGGGCTTAGCAACTGGGGGTGCTGTTAAGTCCTCAACAGTCTGGCTTCAGCTGGAGCCTGGGAATCAAGAGACCATGTGACACCAAACCCAAGTCAAAGGGCAGAGAGATTCTCCAGAAGGTCAGCCGTGCAGATGCCCATGAAGCCAGGTTATTGGGCAGTGTTTCCAAAATGCCACACTGGGTGGCCAAGCACTGGCCAAGATCTTCATTTGACCGAAAATAAGGTGACAGGGAGTTAAGATCTTCTGGGAAAACCCCACTATGACTCTTAGGGGAGTTTTGCTTGGGTCATCTTAGCCAGCCCCACCAACATCTGCAGCCTAACCAGCACAGGCCCCACACAGTGACAGGCCCACCAGTCACAGGCTGGGGAATGGCCTGGATTTTCCAAAATGGCCCAATTTCTAACATTCCAGTCACTGTCCTCATACTCAGTCATATCAGGCTGATTGTCGTTTCAGAAACGACATCACCGTATCAATAATGCATCTCACAAACTCTGAACTGCCTGGATCCAGAAGCAAACAGGATCCTGCCTCAAAGCAGGCAAGTCCAGGCCTAGATGCCACGGCCAGGCAGTTCCGGCTCAGGAGCTGGGGAGACTGCCCAGGTCACCTAAGGCAGAACCAACACAGGGCAGGTTACTATGGCATCAGCAGCATCGGTCTCAAGATGGCCCACCCCACGCCTGGCTAGGTGCCAGCTGCCATCCACGGGAGTCAGGGAGGGAGACAGACAAGCCTCCATCTGTGCTAATGGAAGCGGCTAGAGTGAACCTTACCTACCCCCTCCCACCCCAGACTAAGGCAAATAAGACAGAGCTAGCCAGCAACAATTCTGCAAAACTCTGACATCTGCTTGGGCAGAAAACCCACCACCACCTCTCTGGCTCCTCTGCTTGGAGCCCAGCCCCATCTCCCACAGCCACTTCCCAGGGCCCTGCCCCAGGCATCCTTACATTGTATACCCTACATTGTATAGTCACCCTACCAGCAGATACACCATTTTGCTACAATTCCTGCCGCTCCCCCTTAAACATGTCTGGTC